GATAGATAGATAGATAGATAGATAGATAGATAGATAGATAGATAGATAGATAGATAGATAGATAGATAGATAGATAGATAGATAGATATTCATGACCCATGCATGTGAAGTTTTCATACTGTTTAATTTTTTCAGTGATTTTAGATCGTTTGACCGTAGCACAGTAACAGATGCACCGATCAACATGAAGTTTGTCAGGACTGTAGGTGAGTCCGACCTACACTGCTCCAGCCAACAGTTTTACAGTAGACCCCATTATTMAGGAGGGGGCTCCATCTATAAAGGGGGTGTCTGGATATACTGTARAAAAYTGCTTATAACTCAAACTGTTCAACATWGGAGCTTCAGATTTTTTYTTGTTTAGCTRTGATGWWMAGCTATTCATCATGAGCAACATTCACCCCCTCCAGATCCCCACCTAAAACAATAAATCTGTTCTGGTGAGTTCTGGTGTATTGGTGCTCTGCGTGCGTGCGGGGGTCATACACGCCACCACCATGCTGTCTCTAGTTTAAAAGTAACAATGATCTAAACCAGACCTGATGTCAGTCAGGAACTCGGGCTTTTCAGCTAGTTGAAATTTGACTTCTCAACGAGTATTAAAGTATATTTATTATTTCTAACTGTCATTAAATAATAATAATAAATATTTACCAATCAACATTTAGAAAATGTTCTCTGCAGGCCTGATTATAAGATGAAACTTGTCTACTGATATTATCTTCTCAGCAGGTCAGGTTTGTCTAACAGAAACCTAAAAATTGTCAAATATAAAATATAATTGTACACTGTAAATATTATAAAAATCAGAAAGAATGGGCTTTTAATATTTAATAATTTGTGTTAAATTAAAGCATAATACAGTGAAACACTCTGTGTAACTCTATGCTACAGAAGCTAATATCTGCTAAACAGTTTAGTAATTAACAGCAACTTTATTAGTTTATTTTTATTTTAAACTTTTACATTAGCTTCAGTTCTGCTCAGATCACATCCAGAGGTAAAAAAGATAAAATCTGATTACTTGTTATATGACATGCTTTTTTGTTTCTCTTCTGTTATTAAATCAATAACACAGCTTTCTGACAGTTTTATATACATTAGATTTCTAATATACACGTTGATGTATTATTTCATTAATATTATTTTTAATAGTTTAGTTTTACAGTTTTTACATAATCAGCACTTATAGTTTACTCTAATAATACTAAATCCAGACTCTTGCTGTTCTGGTTAGAGCTGCAGCTGCTTCAGTAGATCACTCTGTCACTTGGTTTAAACTCACTCCTCATTGGTTAGGGTTAGTCTTCTTCAGGAAGCAGGACCGGTTCTCAGACGTTATGGTTTATTTTTCACAAAATCTAATACCTGAGGTAAGTTTCAATGTGTCCCAGTTTATAGCTGCTAAAATATTAAATCTGATAAAAGTTTTCTGATTTATTGGCATCATAAATGTTAATAATAATCTGGTCTTGTACAGTGTGTAAAATAAGTATTGAACACGTCACCATTTTTCTCAGTAAATATATCACTAGAGGAGCTAATG